TAGGGAAAAGGCTAGGTCCAAATCCAGACTTTTCACTGGACTCCTTGTCACACCCCAGGACTTGGGTTAAACGCCTCCCTCGATCCCAACCCCATGTCCCATTTGACCGTGGAAGCCAACAGTACTTTGCAAAACAAGAGCCAAAATGTGCGACCTTCGACAACTCATTTCTTACAGCTCTGCTAGAGCACGTACCTGCTGGTCAACTCCCACAGCATCTAAGCCATCGTACATGATATCCACCCACCCGTCCTTGGAGGCCAGAACAAAGAGAGACATCAGGGCCTAGAGATAGATGGGAAAAAAGTTAGACATAGCTGCACTAAAGCTCTTTTACTTGTAACATTTTACTCCTCTTTGCCCTTTCCTGTCTCAGGATTATCATTACCTGTCTGATAATGGGACACTTTGATGCCCAAGGTTTCTCCTGGCAGCAAAAACCTGTCATTGCCAGTGCCTACTTCAGCAATGAGCACTGTTTCGGAAACCACAAAGCCAAAGGCAAGAGCAGCTTCATTTCCACCCTCCAGGTCTCTACAGCTCCCGACTAATTAGTCCTTACCATGCTGCTAAAACAAGGCTGTGTTGCAGAGATGGTTGAAAGTGTCCAGCTCTATTAGACAAGCCCTTCTGCAAGATATATTTGCTTTGTTATGTAGCAGTGAAGCAATTAAGTACTCCACGAAGCCACATGTGCTTGTTCTGTTCCGAAAAGAAGTGTATGCCTGCTTGGAAACACTACCTCTGGGATTTACGGAGACAGAACGCTGTGTATGTGAACTGAATATTTACTGCGACCGGTAGTGCCCTGTAAGAAAATCCCATGGGATAATAATGCACAGGTTTTAAGTCAAGGAGGCAAAGGAGCAAAGAAGCAGATTACCATTCTATTAATACCTGGCCGAGATTATCAAAATTATACTTGTGCCGGACCCATTTGTAGCTTGCTTCTGTACAATCCGATTTATTTGTGATGTTTCTGGTGTCCTCCCCCTGGCAGACAAAGAACTTGCCTTTGAAAAGCTGCAAAACACGCAAAGAAGAGAGGAACCGTAAGGGCTCGGTCTGCAGGATTTCTCTGCGGGTGACGGGCGTCTCTCCTGGGCACCCTGCACGGCCCACGCCGAGCGGGGAGGTTAAGGGGAACGGCCTCATTCGCGCAGGTTATTAAGTGCGAGCAGCCTGTATAATGTCCACCTAACGAGCAAACGCCTGATTTCACATCGTTTAGGACACCCACCTCGTGCATTAGGCGGTCTGCTTCAGTGATCTGAGACTGGCCTAAAGGCCTTTGCTTCTGGGTCGCCAGCTCAAGCGTGGCCGCCACTAACAGCCCAGACCGGCTGATGGCTTCGCACCACACGCGGAGCGACGCCGGCGACTCTCAGCCCAGTTGGCGATGCTGGTTTCAAGAGTCACCGGCAAATTGAGTGTAACGGGGGCCTCTGCCAGCAGGGAAAAGGCGGCAGTGACGAGGCACCGCGATGGACTAAGCTCTGCTCTTACAGGTCACGAGGGGACACGTCAGATAGGAGCTGAGCTGCTGCGGGTGACGTCGGGCTCTTGCTGAATCCAGACTGCTGTCAGTCCAGCTCCGGCCTCTGATCCTGTTCTCCAGCCGTCATCAGGCCCTGCAGCCCGTGCAGAGGTCTCTGAAAATGTTCCTTGTGCAGAGCTTAAGGAGCCAAGCCCACCTGGTGCGGGGTACCTGATCCCAAGCTTATTTCCTTTGGTGTAAGCCAGGAGGGGTGCGGCTCCTGGGGAGTCAGCTCCTGATTTACACCCGCGCAAGGAACATGAGCCTCCACACACTTAATTCTAGAGCTGGTGCTTCCCGGGCACGGAACGGAGTGGCGGGGGATGATTACTGCTTCAGACGGGGTGACTGATGCTAGCAGGATGGATGGTACCAAAGCCTGGGAGACATCCAACAAATCTGCTTTTATTTGCTGACAGAAGCTATTGACATTACTGTTTCGGGGGGAAATGGCAGCCTGCTCTCCAGGCTCCTTAAAACACCACCTGGGTATACAGAGACGAGACGCTGATGGGTTTTGATCTGTTGTTCTAGACAAATATCAGTAGAAATAATAGTGAACAAGACAAACCCACACGTTTCTCCATGGGTTTCCTTCAGAAATCAACAGCAGAAGGATGTTCTCTAGACATGCAAAATTAATCACCACTCAACGCAGTCATAAAGCTTCTGGATGCAAGAAGAGAAGTATTCCCTGATCTTTCCATGGAGAAACACTATCCGTGGGTAAGGCAGGCTGGGGAGATATAGCCTTCTCAGAGAAAAGTTTTAATTAAGCAAGAAGGTAAACAACTGGTTTTAATACATTGTCTATAAATATAACTTCTCCAGGAGCTGGACTGTAATGCCACTCAGATGGGAGCAGTAACACAGCTACTACCGGGGTTCGGAAATACAAAGCCCAGTTTGCAAAAATGCCAATCCCTGACAGTGCTTCAGATTTTGGCACTTCCGAAAGCGAAAGAGCCAGTGTTTCCTACTGTGCTTGTTCTAGCTAGCTATTTCTTGTATCTTACTAATGACTGTTCATGTGTGGGCAAGCTCTACAGCGAAAACAGTCTTGCTAAGCGGAAACGTGGACGTCTGGATTTCAATGGCATTAAAAACCTCTAGTCTGATCCCAGTTTATATTCACGTGGGAAAACCAACTGTAACTTTGAAAGAGCATCGTTTTAGAGAAAATAGCTACGGCCCTCATCTTTCACCTAATTAGACATAAACGTTAACTGAGAACTTTGCATCCTGAATACAGGATCAGTCTTGGTTGTATCTACTACTTAAGCACATCAACAGTCATGACAATTTAACGTAAGACTGCCTGTCACTAGGGAAAGCAATCAGTTAGCAAGGAGTAAATTCAAGGAGCATACTGCAAGTTTTGTTGTTTGGCATAAATTTTCCTGTGTCTGAGTTTTATATTGTTTTAGGGGATACGCTTAGTTTTATGAATCCAGTTAGTATAATGGATGGATGTCGTTGTCCTATAATGCCAGGCCAATCCAGCTGCTGAGGTGGTTATGCATGGCATGATATTGTTCTCTGTTTATTTTCAATGCTGTATTTATTATTTAAACAGTATATTTGTATAAAATATTATATAAGACCTTGCCAAAACAAAGCCAAACAAAGCTAAACAAAGCTGCTTTCCAAAGCTGGCTGTGACAGATCAGGTAAAATTCAGAAAGAAATAAGTGTTATGTCAGAATATTTATATGAAACAATCTCGTCTTCTCAGGTAATGAGAAACTGATTGCATTGGAAACTCTGCCACTTTTCCCCTGGGTTCCTGCACTCCTGGGATGGAGGATATTGCCAGCAGAGCTGGCGGGAAGCAGACTCAGAAATCTCTATTTCTGCAAGCTTTCAGTTATACAAGCTGTCAGAATCTGAGTGAATCTCCAGGTCAAGGTCTCTCTGGAGTTTACAAACCAACGATTTCAGCTTTAAGAGTTTCTATTTCCCCATTGGTTTATACCTAGAAGAAAGGTGGAGGGAAGATGTCCCCATGTTATCTCCCAGACGAAAGAGGAGTGGGATTTAACAGCTTCCCGGAGCAGAGTTTTTCTGTGGCACATGTTATGCCTCACGCCTGACCCTTCTGTGGTGTGGCCAGGGGAAGAAAATGGAGAAATATCTTGATTCACATCCTGCTGCAGGCAGAGCAGAAGTCCTTGTGGTGAGGAAAGGATGAAGAAAGTCCATTCTGTCCCTTTGAGGGGGTCATCATGTTGGCTTTTGTATCACTGCATGCAACAGGGAAGCTTCAAGAAAGTTCAACATGTCAAGTGACACATAGCCAAGACTTGGAAGCCAGGAATAAATGTGTCTTGAGAGCACTAGAAAGGCCACGCTGTGCTGCTGGGGGTGGGGACGGAGAGCCACATAAGCCCTTGGTCTGAGTCGTTCCAGGCTCTTAACAATGGCAAAGTTACAGATTCAAAACCAACACACGTTTCTAGACCTGGGCGGAGGACCTCGATGGAATCGGAGAGAGGCAAAACCAAACCCACTAATTGGCTCTAACCATTGCTCCTTCAGCTATGGCTGGGGATGCGTGTTGCTGGGCCACTGCTGTTAGGTTGTTAATTGAGAATGAGGTTTTAATGGCCGACCAATAATAGGAAATCTGCTTCTTCCTCGCTAGGAGCAAGGAGCATTCCCCAAGAAAGCCAAACAGCTCATTGGTTCCATTTCAGAAAGGCTTAGTGTGCCCATTGGTACAGACACCCAGATGTGGGGCCACCTGGGGCTTGTTACACTTTCAGGTTAGGTGCTGAGGCTTACAGGGGACTCACCTGAACTCCCAGGATCCCAAAGATTATGAAAAAGGCACAGCAGATGACCACGATGTTCCCAATGGGCTTCAGGGATGACATGAGAGTCTCCACCACCAGCTTCAGTCCTTGGGCTCGACTAATGACTCTGTGGGGGCAAGTAAGCACAAAAGCTATGTTAGACCTGTTCTTGGCCAGTTCTGCCTCCTATCAAGATAGAAGATGTGGAGAAAACAGCGTTAGAGAATTTTTTAGAATGGCAAATAACTCAAAAATCATGATGGAAGAAACAGTTCTGTAAGATTGACCTGTGAGGTGACGGAGAGAAAGGGGTCTCTGCCTACACGTACAGCTTTGCATAAAAGAAGAAGAGGAGACCACATATGAGGAGCCAGGTCAGAAAAGTCACTAGAGAAGGACCTCGGAAAGGAATATATGTAGGCTAGTCCCATATTTTTCAAACTTGGAGTGATGGTTTTAATCTAACCCACTACCTATTCTTGATCTGTTTGTTGATCAGCACCTTCGAGTTACCATTCACTATAATATATTCAAGCCTTGGCATTTTCCTTTTCCTAGCATTTGGTCCAAAGAGCTCTCTAGGTTTCCAGCCTTGATCACACCTTCCCTGGGACCCGGACTCTTGATTTGGGCCATCCACAAACACACATCTTTATGCCTGCAGCCTGTCCAGGACTGCAAAGAGAAGGCCTCCCAGCCTCCATTCCTGTGTAGATTTAGACAAGGCTCTTGATTTCCCTGTCTCAGTCTGTGAAACGGAGCAGCCACTCTTACACAGCTGCCTGCACGTCTGTAGCGATTATAGAATCATAGAATAGTTTGGGTTGGTTAAAGGCCATCTAGTCCAACCCCTGCAATGAGCAGGGACGTCTTTAACTAAATCAGGTTGCTCAGAGACCCATCCAGCCTCACCTTGAATGTTTCCAGGGATGGGGCATCTACCACCTCTCTGGGCAACCTGTGCCAGTGTTTCACCACCCTCATCTTAAAGAAAATCTGTACCTGTCCTTATAGAGCCGCTGTGTACAGAGACCTGAGCTACCCCTCAGCACTGTCACAGCCTCTGCTTTATACCCACTACACAGCTTCAGCTACTGAACCAGCGGTGTCCTCCAGCCGAAACTCCATCAGCAGACCACAGGCATCTAACCTTATTTCTGTAGCTCCTCTCTGTCTGGTACCGCACAGAATTTCATAACATATGGGAAGGTTGGGGGAGAATAACGTGGACATCATGACTGAAGCAGGTTTAAAAAAAAAAAAAACACCAAAAAAAAACCCCAAACAAACTGTACTGTGCCCTCAAGGACAACACCACAATGAAAGGACAAGGCTTGTGCGATTTAGAGAAGCCATCTCACATGCTGGGCAAGATGAATGAGGTATTCAGGCTCACAGACCTGAAGACTGAGAAAGGCATCTGAAGAAGTTGCATGTCTCCCTCCTCTTGATGCCAACTGGAATTAAGCATTTCGCTAGCACTGTAAATCAATTCGTACTGATGCCATAGAAACTGCTTTCCCAAGGCAAATAGCCGTCTGCTGTGGAAAGCAGAGGGAGGGATGCGCCTGTGTACTACTGGGTACCGGCTGGTGCCTCCTTTGGACACTTGAACTTCCCCGCCTTCCTGTTTCTGCCTGGTTCTCTCCTTCGCCGTGGGAGTCCTCTCGCCACCTCTCCCGTTTCGCCCCGAGGCTGGCTGCACCACCCGAAGCACAGCTGGAGTTTTGTTGCCTGCAGAGCATCCAAGCTCCGCTGCTCCCTCCCCGTCCCCGGCTGTGGTGCTCCCAGCAGAGGCCCCCACGGACACGGACACGTCCACGTCCATGTGCTCGACGTGCACGGCCTGAGCCGGGACCGCGGCCAAGCCTGCGCCAACCCTCTCCTGCCCCAGAGCCGACAGGTTTAGCCAACTGCAGAGCTCAGTGCACAGGCACCAGGTCTTTCCAAAACTCTTGGCTTTAGACAGTATCCTGAAAAACTAAAAATTATTTCCCCTTTTTTCTGGTTAAATATTTACTCAAAACATCAGGGGTAACATCAATTATCGTTTTAAAAAAGGAACAGATGGGGTATTTTTATCCACTCCCTTACCAGTGAGACACTGATGCTGCTACTCCTCACGCTGGGTGTCTCTCCCAGGTGGCTGCTGTGGCTCCCTACTGCAGACGCTTCGCGTTCCCGATGCTCAGACCCGGGTTATTTTAGGGAATGGGCTGGGGGTGAGACGGCTCAGGGAGCAGAAGGCTGCTGAAGGCTG